GGCTGTAATAAGGGTCGGGGGAATGCAATAAGGGTCGGGGGGCTGCGATAAAGCTCGGGGGGCTGCAGCAGGAAAGGGACGAGCTCCGGGGGCTCCGAAACCCCCCCCGCCCTGCGCATGCGCCCCCCACTCACCGCGCCGGGGCTCCGACCCGCCAGCCCCGCCCCCGCTCGTCGCTCATTGGCTAACCCACGGCGCAGCTCGCTGTCTATTGGCTGATCCTGCTGCCACTCATGTTGGGCGGGACTTGGCCTTAAAGGGGCCGCGCGGGTGCGTGGCGCAGAGTTAATTACACGGGGGTAATTARGCGGTGCTGATTCCACGGGGATCGCACGGTGGCCATCGCATGGTGCCCATCGCCTCTTGCTAATGGCACGGTGCCCATTGCACGGCGCCCTTTGCCCAGTGCCCATTTCCCGGTGTTAATTAATTGCCCCGTGCTAATTGCCCGGTGCCGTTYCAGTCGTTTTCCCTGGGGCCCCCCAACATCTGGGCAGCGCCATCCAGCTGTTCCCAGCTGTGGGCTGAGGCCGGGCACAACTCATCMCACCGGTGCCAAGGGCTGGAGGGGACCGTGCCACGCTGCCACCCCCCGGCTCTGCCACCTCAGCCCATCCTGGCCCACCGGAGCATCCCTGATTTTGCTGGGATGGCGGGGGAAATGATGGTGSTGATGCTGGAGCATCCTCGATCCCGATGGGATGGAAGGGGGATGTGTGAGGGGAGCATCCCTGACCATGATGGGATTTTGGGGGAATGAAYGGAGACACCGAGGTGGGTGCTGGTGGTGCCAGGTGCCCGGCACGCTGTGGACACTTTATTCCTCCTGCCCCGAGCAGCCCCGGGAGCCCTCGGAGCAAAGCACCGAGCAAGAAGCGCCCGGTCCCGGCTCCCCGCGGCGTTCCGGCCGTGTCCGTGACGGTGACCGAGGCTCCCGGTGTCCTCCCGTGTCGCCCTGGCCTCACTTGCAGCCCCGCAGGACCCCCAGGGCCTCCCGCACGGCGGCGACGATCATCCCGTCCAGCTGCAAAGGGGCAAAGAAGGGGCTCAGCACCGCTCACCCCATCCCGGAACCCCCAAATTCCCCCCCAGAACTCCCACCTGGGCGCGGAGCTGCCCCGTTCTCCCGGCGGGGTCGCTGCCGTGGTCCCGGAGGCGAACGGCGCTCTCCGGGGACAGGAATTGCTGCTCCACATGGATGGTGCCGCTGAGGCTCTGAACCTGCCAGGGCACGGAGATGTCAGAGTTTGCCGTGCCTCAGTTTCCCCAGAGGGTTGGCACAGCTCTTCACGGAGTGGGGTGGGTTTAGGGGTCCTACCTGGTGCGGAGCCCCGGCGGGGACCAGCACGGCGTCCCCCGGGAGCTGCAGGAGGCTCCAGCCGCTCACCCCGCACTCCTCCCGCAGCCGCCGCCGCATTGCGGGGTCCAGGTAGCGGCCGGGGGCTTCCGCCGTCCCCGTCCCGTCCTTCCCCGGCTCCTCGGACTCCTGTGGGGTGCCAGGGATGAGCGGAGCCGGGGCCTGGAGCGGGGCCGGGGGCGGTGGCACCCACCTTCCGCAGGAAATCCCGGATCCGCCCCGCATCCTCGGCACGGAAGATGTGCCACAGTGCCCCGGGCCGGCCGCCGCTGTCCCCGAGCCGCTCCCGCAGCGGCGCGTCCAAATCCTCCGTGTCCCCCGGCAGGAGCAGCTCTGCGGGCAGAGAGGGGACTCAATGGGGGGCTGAGCAGGGGATGGCAATGGGGGGACCCCCACTTTTCCCCCCGTACCCCGCGGAGCCGGCGCTGCGTGGGTCAGGACGCTGATGGAGTCGGCCGCTTCCACCGTCAGGTTTTTGGTCCCGATGTTGCGGTCCTGCGGTCGCACCCCTGGGAGCGGGATTGGGGCGGTGGGTGAGCCTGGGGCACCGGCGCGGCCGAGGGGAGCCCCGGTGCCCCCCGAAACCCCGGTACCGCACTCACCGTAGGCCACACGGACGCGGGGGCGCAGCCAGCGCCGGCCCCGCTGGCCCCTCAGGTAGGTAGCCAAGTTGAGGCGGCCGCTGGCCCCGCAGTACTCGGGCAGGGGCAAGCTGGCCCGCAGGTTGGTGGCCCTGTGGCACAGAGGGGTGTGGTGACACTCGGGAACCCCAACTCCACCGAGCCCCGATGGCCCAGCCCCGGTGCTGGCGTGGGGAGGGGACATCGGGGTGATGCCACCCTGTGTTGTCACCTACCGGCTGAGCTCCGTGTCCCCAAAGCCACTCTCCAGCTTCAGCAGGTCCCCAACGCTCTGCTCCTGCTCCGGGGATGCTGTGGGACAGAGCTCGGTGTCACATCAGCGGTGCCCAGCCTGGCTGCCCTCAAACCTGACCCCAAAATCACACGGGGACCCCACAGACTCCTCGTCCCYTCACCTGTGCTGGCGGCAAAGCCATCCCAAAACTCTCGGCTGCTTATCCGGACTCGATTTCCCGGTGCCCGCAGGTTCAGCGCCTCCACCTCCTCCTCCCCGGAGCGCTGGAAGGATTCGGGACCMCACAGCCGCGCCTCCAGCCTTTTCTGCAGCCCTGAAACCAGGACGGGCTGCGGGGGCAGCCGGGGCTCAGTAGGGTCGGGGAGTTCCGGGTG